GTGATCTTTTTTTTATCAATAATAAGAAAAAAGTTCTTTATGGATGGAAAAAAATCAGGATAAAAAAGTTTCCTGCAGGTTAGAAAAGTTGGTTTCGTACCGTTTTCACTAGGTCAACTGTTCAGGTTTGGACAACATATTCTTTTTGAAGGCCTTTTTTTTCTCGAAAACAATTTCTATCTTAATTGTTAAATGTTGTTTTCTGGTCTCATTTTGTCGAAATATTTGAAAATTTGCTCGAAAATTAGAAATTTTATCCCTTTTAAAAAGTAACTAAGAGATGAAAACAGGGTTGAATATGTTCAATCTGTGAGCACTGATTTTAATTAATAATTTATTTATTTATTCATTTTTTTTAATGTTATAGACTTTGTAGATCGTCCAAAAATTAAACTCCTCCACATGTACATATGTACAAGTACACACTGTATGCTTGTGCAACCGGCAAATGGGGCGAGCTGATAAAAAAATTAGAGGTTAAGAATCCCTAGAGCAAAGGTACATGTGAGTAGTTTGTCTCTTAAAATTTCAATACAAGAAAACATTTTTTATTAAATCATTTTTGAAATCTCATTGATTTTTTTAATTTGTTTTTATGGAATGTGAAATAAGAACTGAAATGAGACTTAATTTTATATGTTACCATTAGTATATGATCAAATTTATCGATTTTAATTTTGCATGGTAAAAAGTTGAAAGGAAAACACCTTTAAATTGATTTCAATTGATCAGAAATCGGTGATCGACCTGTGATTTGGCTGTATTGTGTACATGTCTTCAGCCCCGGGGTAGATCGGGGTACAACTTGTTTATTCCATGCAAATTGTAGTGGTCAGCGTAACAATGGGCATTAATTACCTATTGTTCTTCGTCTGCGGCTACCGGTGTTATCAATAAACAAACTACCTACACTGTTATATTGTTTTGAACATATTTTATTGACAAGCAAAAGGATAAGAAACAAGTTCTAACAACTTACTAGTTCTTCTCCTTAACATAAACACATAGTCATGCAAAAGGTAGAGAAAAAAACTTGTACAAATAAGAGTCAATAATATATCTAGTTAAATCTACAAGATTCATTTATAAATTTGTGAACAGCGGCAAAAATGCCAATGTTTACTTCAATTGAAAGATTTTCGTTGCCCCAAAGCAGTAGGTGTACATTTATGATGTCTACATCAAGTCGAAAAAGATAGTCAAAAAGATTACTTCGAGCATTAAGATATTTTTTACAAACAAAGAAAAAATGATAAGCATCTTCCTGTTTGCCACAAGAGCAATTAGGATTATCAATAATATTACGTTTAAATAAGTCTTGGTTCAATACACAGTTGTGCCTTAATTTAGTATGAATAATGTTAGTAATACGTTTACCAAACAAAAAATATGATGGTGCTTTAGGATTATTATCACTTATAATCTTACGAAAAGAATTGACTGAGATGGCTTCCCTTGTATCTGTATTCAATAAATTCCATTTTTTAACAGCATCAGGTACAAACGATTTGTTAAATATTTCTAACCTGCCTCTTGGGATAGTTAATTGATCTTTATTTCGTGTATTGTATCTTGATGTGTGTTCTCGTTTCTTTGGTACTATATCTTGTATATATTCCGGTACATCACAATAATTAATTTTGAACATTGTAATCATTTTAGATTGGTAACGACGATTTTTCAAAGGTACCCATCCTGTTTCAAAATAGAGTGATTCTCTTGAAGCTAATATCGGAAGACCAGTAACTATTCTAGCAGCCATTAATTGTACTTTTTCTAGTTTTTCTACATCAGATAAAGAGCAACCATCCCAGACAATTGAAGCATATTCAAGTGTAGGTCTTACAAATGTTGTATACAATAGAGAAAGGTTTTTCCTACCGATTGAAAATTTCAATTTTTTTAATAACCCCAATTTCCTATAAGCATTATTAACAATACTATCTATATATTCAGACCAGCTCAGATTTTGTGACAACAATATACCCAAATGGCGATGCGCCGATACAAACTCCAGTGCATTGCCTTGAAAATACAAGTTAGGTAAAACAGGTTTATGTTTCAAAGAAAAAAATACAACCTTTGTTTTTGCTGGATTAAATCTTAAAAAGCCATTTGCTCGACCATTTATCTAAAACATCTAGATCATGGTTTAACCTGTATTCTATATCTAGTACATTACATGATGCATGTTGCAGTGAATTGTCATCAGCAAATAATCTACACATTGTAAGCATATTTTCAGCAACATCATTAATATATATCAAAAATAAAAGAGGACCTAGAACTGAGCCTTGAGGCACACCTGCATATATATTGAGGTTGGATGATAGCAGATCTTTATACATAACTTTTTGTGATCTATTTCTTAAGTAACTTGTAAACCACAGTAAAAGATCACCAGATATTCCATACGTTTGTAATTTGAAAAGAAGACCCTTGTGCCATACTCTGTCGAATGCTTTTGATAGATCGCAAAAAACCATACAACACGATTTGCCTTCATCTATACTTTGTACAATACTATGATAAGTTTCTAGAAGTTGGAACACTGTAGAGTGACCAGGTAAAAAACCTGCTTGATATCGATAAAATAGATTGTTAAAATGAAAATAATTATACACGTGTTTGAAAATGATTCTCTCCATAATTTTGCTAACGCAGCTTAACAACGACACAGGCCTATAGTTAGACACTAAAGACGGATCATCCTTTTTAAAGAGAGGTAATACATGAGCTACTTTCCACGTGGACGGGAAAGCATTCTCTGACAGTGATTTATTGAATAACATAGTCAATGGTTTTGAAACAGTAGAAACAGTATTTTTAAGCATTTTGTGACTGATGCAATCGAGACCAGTGGCTTTATTAACAGGAAGTACTGAAATAATGTCAACTACCTCTTGTTCATCAATTATAATATTACTTAGATTATCACTACATGAAGAGTAGATTTGTGGTAAACTATGGTTTTTATCATCAATACAGGAGATGGATGAAAAATAACTGTTGAGTGCTTCAATTTTATCATGATCAGAAAAGGCTAAGCTATTTTTCCCATTATCTGTAGTAATTTGTAATGGAGGGATATCATTGGATGATTTAACATTAAATGCGTCCTTCATTAGTTTCCAATATAATTTGTTATTGTTTTTGTTTGCGTCTACTAGGTGCATTTCTATATTATCATAGTAATTAGCTATAGCATATTTTTTCATGTTATTGAACGTGTTCCGAACTTTTTTAAATTCAGCCCAATCCGAATCTTTCTTCGTTCGTAACGCTTTGTTTCGTAATCTATTTCTAAGTCTTAGAGTTTTACGCAGAATGGAGTCCATCCAAGGTTTATCTCGTGGACGAATAGTAATTGTTTTTTCACAGAAAGATTGTCTAACACAAGAGAGAAATTTATTTGAAAAATTGTCGGTAGCCGCGTCTATATTGTCGGCATGATTGATGTATTTATCCCAATCACAATTTTGTATTAAGGAATTTAATTTGTCAAAGTCACCATTTTTATAATCCCATACCTTTCTTTTGTAAGCGCGATTGTAATTTATATTCGAGGCTAGTGCAATATAAGTTGCTTTGTGATCACTAAAAGCTGGGTCAATTTCAAGGACACCCGAATCATGTACCTGAATATCAACTGAAGTGAAAACTGGGTCAAGAAGCGTGCGTGTATTGTTAGTAATTCTCGTCGGTACGTGGATGTTGTTGACAAGATTGGAATTTGAAACTATTTCACGTATTATGTGTGTAGGAGGAGTATTTAACAAATCTACATTTATATCACCAACAATTATGATTTTACTCGAGGATTCTCCTACTTTATCTAAACTCCATGAAAGTTTAGTCCAGAAACTGGCGTCAGCGTTTGGAGGTCGATAAATACAGCAGAGATAGTATTTACAGGTACGATTTTCGATTTCTAACCAAATACACTCTAAATTAGCTGGTTCATAGTCTTGGCGTCTTGTTACATGTAATTGATTTGATAAATATATCATAATACCTCCCCCAAAACAATTTCTATCTTTTCGTATTATATTACTAAAGCCATCTAATAATAGATTATCATTCGATATGGTATGGTCAAGATGGGTCTCAGTAAAACACAATATATCGAAGTCATGGACGAATGAGTTCAAATAACCTAGTTTGTTTCTTATACTGCGAATATTTAGGTGCAAAATGTCAAGGACACTTTCGATAGTGGGTCCTGGATTGACCTCAATATCACCACAGGCTAATAAAATAAACGTAAACAACTGCAAGTAAAAGTTAATATACACTAAGTTTTTCTTATACCGTGTCGTACATCTTAATAATGTTTTGATCGTACTGTAAAGAACGCTCAATAGGAATTCACAAACCGAGATATGGAATGAGTAAGACTTGCATACACCTCTACAGGATAAATAAAAAAGACCGATTGCAGCACGGTATTGTTCAACAGAGTCACCCATTGTCTAAAATTTGGTGAAAGTGTACAGTAGGAAACAAAAAAGGTGCTGCAATGGTGTTTTTAAATAATAGTGACATACAGAAGAATGGGACAAAAAGTACAGAGTTTGAGAGATTCAGCAGAATACGCAAAGCATGACAATTGAAATTGTAAGAATTATAAAATGTAACACAAAAAAATAATACAACAAAAAAGTGAACAAAGAAACATACATTGAAAATAATAACAAACCAAAGAAACAGAAAACAAGAATATTGTGTGTAGAAAATATATACAAACACTGTGTTGTACACACAATAGGTTATACAAGTTAATGTAACATCACAGAAATTTGAGGTTGATTTGACCTCTAAATCGTGAAATGCACAAGTTAGTTGAACTGCACAAAACATAAGACATAAACTGATGCAGTTCATCTTGATTGAGTTCTAAAAAGAAAAACAAACTGGTGTGGTAGGAAGGTTTATATTATACGATTTATATTTAAACGCATTTGAGTTTACTATTTTGTTTGTTTGCTTTTTGTAACATTTTACTCAATTGCCATTACATGTCCAAAGGGTACTAGATCTGCCTCTTCTCGAATGAAGTGGGATTCATTGTCCCGATCATATATTTTGATTTTTCCATTAGAGGAAGACACTGATTTTATTCTTCTGTTTCGACAAAGTTGTCTGCCCAAGAACATGATCTTGTCACGATATTTCGTCAGATCCTCGTTGATGGTAATACCAGCAGTCTTCTCAATTTCTGCAAACTTTCTTGAATTTTTAACGAGATGGAATTTGAGATCCACAGACCTTAGTCTAGCGATTATCTGTCTAGGGCGTGTTCGGTTTGCATCACGTTTCCCAACACGATGAGAAACAATAATATCCTCCCGCTGGAAAGGAATACCAGCGGCTGTAACGGCACCCATGATTTTGTCTGATGTATTTTCGTTCATTGTTTCAGGAATGCCAGAGACTCGAACCAAGGGTCTACGACCATATTGTTATATTAAAAATGCTCCAGGAATATGTTCATTCAAAAGTCTTTTAAAATCTCATTTCTGTAGGAAAAGTATTGAACTTTTTAATTTTGGAAAAAGAAAGTATAATATAATACATTGCCAGATAAGGAATAATGTTAGTAATCTGAAAGCAGATTTATATAATCAACATTTAGCTGAAACTCCAATGTGTGAACATTGTACTGATTGTATTGAAAATGCCTATCATTACTTTATTGTTTGTCCTAAATATACAATTCCAAGAGATGTACTCTTTCAATCAACACATAATATTATAAGCTGTGATAATATTCCCGAATGTGATTTATTTTTAAATGGTAGTTCTAACCATGGACTTGACATTAATATACAAATATTTGAAGCTGTACATACATTTATAGCAGCAACAAAACGTTTTATATAAACACCGTCATATCTATATATAGATATAATTGTTAGAAGTACTCCCAAACCGGTACTACTTTGTATTTTGTCTCCCCCTGTAATTTTCCCTTTTTGTTATTTTGTTCATTCTATTTTTCTCTTTTGTTTAATTTTCTACATATGACTTTTTCTGTTTTTTTCTCTGTTTCTTTGTTCAAATTTGTTTGTGTTTTTTTTTTTCTTCTTTTGTACATTCTTTTAATATCACTATTTGTTTTGTACCTTGACCTAAATGTAGGGAGAGGGCTAAAATAGGCTGCGCCTGCTGCCCAATCCTATTCACGACAACATCTGTGAATAAAATATTGTTTAAATTAAAAATTACCTACACTGTACATGTACTCGCTACTTAGGAACAATCTTAAAGTTTATGGACGCACGAAAAAAAAAATCCGTAATATTGAATGTGATGACGAATAAATTTGATAGAAAAAATATGTAGAATAGAACACTGTGGTACTAAAATAAAAAAGAAGATATATACATGTATATCTTGTACGTTGTACAGACTTATTTTAATTATTATTTCAATTCACAAAGATCTATCTTTCTTCAGTATTTAATTTCATTTTTTAGTTTTACGCATATTTCTTCAATCAATCAATCATTTATTTGAATCTTTTTACCATTCTACAATAGTATACAGAGACCACAAAAACATAAAATGTAGGTGATTTTATACATAACAGTATCTCTAATAGGCATGCGTGAATAAGAAACTAAACAAAAAAATTGTAGGTTGCTACTTTAATAAATGCAAGTAAGGGAATTTAGGCCGGAGATTATATTTCGTTTATCAGATAAAAGAATATCCCAGGGGAGGTGGTCACATGTATTTTCAATTCTGAATCTCTGTTAACGATGGTTTAGGACCGGTAAATACGTAGACGAGAAAGAGAAATTGACTTCACTTTTTAATTAAAAAAGAGTGTGCAAAATATACAATCATATAAATATAAAGAGAAAGATTGTTTAGTGAAAGCACTTTTCTGAAATAATTTAGCATTAATTGTTCACAATTCAGATGCAGGGAAACTCCACTTTGCTTCATCCGAGAAAAAAAACCCTTAAATGTATGGATTTTGAATGTCAGATACATGACGTTGTTTATCGCACTCATGATACTTCAGTTCTGAATTTTGTATTGTTCATTGCAATTGATTCTCTTAAATATTCTTATTCATGCATTTAAAAAATTCGATAAGTATAATATCATAACTTGCATGACTTATAAAACACACAACTAAAGAACAGACCTTGCCCTATCGGCTATCACTTAAATGTAAACAGTATTTCACCCCCCCCCCTTCCTTTTTGTGCTACAATCAAGTAAAATCATATAAATAAGCACCCAGTCTGTACTGTTCGTTTATACAAAGGTCTCGGACAAAAATGGAATTAAAAAAAATTATAATCTCTGCACAAAATTCTAATTTTACAAAAACGCACAAGCCGTAACGATATCCATATGGCAGAATGTACTAATAATTGACCCGATTCTAAAACGAAAGTAGAACTTTTACACCTGGTTGACATGTGATGTTCCAGCACAACAAGCAAAATTGCATTAGTGGAAAAAGTTAATTCAAGTTTTGATTTACTTTATTTTGTTTTTTAACTGACTGACCGCATATAACATGTTTAAGGAGTGGCGCATAATATTAGAAGCCATATGCCTATAGACTTAAAACTGTATGTACAATGAAAAAAGAATTAGCCTGAAGAAAGACGTGTATTTCATCGACTGAAACTCACACTGCATAAGATTTATGTCATGTAGTGCACAAAACTTAAGCCTTTACAAATAATTTATGAAAAAAAGAGGGACAGAGAAAGCTAGAAAGCGACACAATGATATAAAATTCGCAGGGAGGACATCGGAGAACTAGAGCGCGCTGTCTGCATAATATATAAAAAAAATTAATTAAAGATGCTTCAATTTAATTATTTAACCCTTTCACATTCTTCTTTAAAATAACAAAGTGTTCGCTTCAAGACTAGATTTTATGACAAATATTTAATACTGTCTTGTTAAAATGAGAGCTTAATTTAAAAGTAAATGGAAAAGGGGGGTGTTTTCAACTAAATGTGCTCATACATTTTCAGTTCTCCACACGGTAAAATAAATTGAATTTACAACCATTGACTGTATTGAAGTATTAAAGATACCCACTAAAAGCTTTTGATGACAGTACAAATACATGTAAGAAAAAATATGAGATGAGATTTTTTTTTAACCTTTATGAATAAAAATTAAACTTTTTTAAAAAAGTACTTTGGAAGAAAAACCACTGCAAATACAACAGAATAATTTTCCTCACGTAATGTCATCTACGTGTAAGGAGAAATTTAAAGAAAAAAAACAAAAACATTATGTTAACATTATGATCTAAAAACTGAAAACAAATTAATAAAACGTGATTTTTTAATTTAGAATTATTTATTTTGTAATTTACTGTAATGAATTTGTTAAATACTTTTTTTAACAAACAAATAATCATTTCTCAGGCTATTTTAATCCATTCCCATGTTAAAAACAATGACCACAGTAATTATCAGTAAATCTCAGCATCGACAGCACCTCTACAGTAATTATCAGTAAATCTCAGCAGCGACAGTACCTCAACAGTAATTATCAGTATTTATCAGACTCCACAGTAAAAGACGACAGTAATTATCAGTATTTATCAGCAACAACTAAAATTATCAGCAACAACAGTAATAATAACAGTAAATATCAGTATTTATCAGCAAGAACAGCACCGTATCAGTAATTATCAAACATTATCAGTAAAATTTGGGATTCTCAGCACTTTTTTCGTCCAGTAGTGATGGCTACTGATTGTGTATTTCGTGATCTCGAATTAATTTTTGCTTATTTGAAATTCGACGTGTCCCTTCATGGCTTTAGTATTTGGCAGTCCTTAACCTAGCTTCGAAGGAGAACACGGCGAATGTGACTGGCGGAAAGAGGATGCTTCCCACTCCTCGGCAATTAATTCCAACTTTGCTGTTTTCAAAAGGCCCTGTTTGTTCTTTTCTACGTTGGTTTTGAGTAAAAGAACTTTGTGTGCTGATTTCTAGTATTAATCTTCATATTTCATTTGTTTCATATTTCAGATTTCCTGGTAATTAACTTTGTAGTATTGTGAGGAATATTTCGAATTCTGATGAAAATCCCTACTGTTTCCTGCTTTTTATTAAAGGTTTTCGTTTATGTCGGAAGACCTTATAGTGGTACTGCTAATTCTTAAAGTCTTCCGACTTCCTTCAGATTTCCAAATTTCATTCTATTTTTAATGATACCAACAATTTTAAAGTCCCAATCATGTGATTAGACTATCAAATTAATGATCGGTTAAGGTTATAGATCTACCATTTAGAGAAAATATAAGATGAATAGGGGTCACTGTAGAGCCTGCTCTAGGAACATTTTTATTTTTATGTCCCTGGATCGAAGGATCCCGGGGGTTTATTGATTTTTTCCTGTCTGTCTGTTTGTGTCTTTTTCAGTCTGTTATCTAGCTCAAACCTATTGAGTTGGTGGGGGTATGGCTTTAATATTTTACAGGTGTATTTTTTGTGAAAAGACCTCAAATTTGACATCTTGACATTGACCTTGCTTTGTGACCAAATTTTACAAAAAATACCACACATTAACGTTGGCCATAACTTTTGAACAGTTGAAGCTTAGGCTTTTATCCATCACATGTGTATTTATTGTGACAAAACCTTTCAGTTGGTATAAATATTTTTTGGCCTCTTGACCTTTAATTGACATAAGAGTTTAATCCACTTTAAAAAAATTTGACCTTGGTAATAACTTTTGAACAGCTGGAACTAGGCTTTTAATTTTGCAGGTGTATTCCATGTTAAAAAGCAACACTTCCTTTGGGTACTAACACTTTTGACTTTACCTTTGGAGTTTTACATGCATTAGAGAAAATTCAATCCTCGATATTACATGTATACGCTGGTAAATACAACATCTGGTCTGGTGTTTTGTCCCCTTTAACCAAAAATTAGGGGTTATATACTTTTTGCCTTGTTCGTCTGTCTGTCTCACTGTTTGTCCTCAACATCTTTATCATTGTCACATAACTTTTGATTGGTTGAGTCTATGGCATTTATTTTTCAAATGTGTATTAATTGTAACAAGACATTTGTTTTAGTACAATCAAATTTGACGTATTGACTTTAACTTAGGATTCTGACCCAGTTTTGCAAAATTGTACTCAACTTCAACCTTGGCCAAAATATTTGCGCAGATGATGTTAGAACTTTTATTCTTCAAACATGTACGGTAATCCTTGTGATAAGACTTCCCTTTAAATGCCAGCAACTTTGATCATTTGTCTTTAATTTGTGAATTTTACCTTTTTTTAAAAAAAAAAACTTAAACCTTGGCTTTGGGTTTTGAGTTATTTTGAAAAACAAATTAGCCTTTGAGCGGCTAGGGATAGGGTTTAAATACTTCATATGCATTTCTTATTAGAAGACCTAACCTTGGG